TTACAACAAAGGAGGCAAGGATTTAGCCTTTTTACACAACTAATGCATGACAACATGCAGAGATTGGAAATAACAACAGTGAAAAATCACTCTTCCCCTTGTCCTCTGCCCCTTCCCTTTTTTTTCCCCAGGGAAATGCTTAAAGACCCTGAGCTAAGGTCAAAGATGATTTCTAACCCAACAAATTTCAACCACGTGGCTCACATGGGACCAGGGGATGGGATGCAGGTTCTCATGGACCTCCCACTGGTAAATACATTTGTGCATTTTCTCTTGCTCTGAAAAACTGAGAGCTGTACAGGACTCGGTTGTGGCGGTGCCAAATTCTTCTGCTCGTTTGAGAAAAGTGAACATTACTGATGCCCAGTGCTTCTAAATCCTGCTCAAGGAAATACTGTTTGGTGCCTTAGGACTGGGACACTGAAAGAAACAGATATCACTGCCAGGAACTTGTTAGTACTCCTATAAATAATCAGTCTTTCCTCCTTTTTTTTTTTTTCTTGTTTTTCTTCTTAAAATAATAGAATGAATTTCCTTCCCCCTCATCCTCCCAACACTCTGCTCGGATATCACCTCCAACAGGCTTTGAGCACGTCTATCACATGAGCCCTGGCTCTGCTGAAATCTTTCTCCAGAGTGACCAGTCCTCCCTGGACGGCTCCCCTCTGCTTTCTTCCTCTCCCTCCTGTGCTTCCCTAGCAAGGGTAGGAGTAGCTACAGACTGTCAGGAGCTGGAGTGCAGTGTGGTGGCGCCTCGCGAACGCTACAGCACAGCGAGGGGGAAATACTAACGCTTTGGAAGATGAGTACTAACATGCACGTAAGTTGCAGTGCTCGACAGCATCGTCTTGGGGCTTTGGATGTGTCAAGTGCAGCACGTTGTGAGCGGCTGCAGGGCCAGGCCCTGAGCATAAGGTCACAGGTTTGCTTTTGTGTTCTCTGCCTTCCGCTCCGGAGCTGCCAGCCAGGTTTTCCCTTGTCACTCTCAGCTAACCCAGGTAAGGGTAACGTGTCTGGCCTGAAGGAGAAGGAAGGCAGAGCTGCTGGTGCCCCGTGTAGAGGCTGGCCGGTGTCGAGGCAGCTCGGCAGGTTTCGGTGCTCCTGGCCCCGGCCGGCGGCTCCGCTCCTGCTCAGGTCTTGTGTCTGTGTCTGAAAATAAGTGGCTGAGATCAAGTAAGGTCAGAGTGTTTCTATGAATGCTGGGTTGTAGTAGCGTCAGAAGCGCAGTAGGGTCTTCACAGCAAAGCAGCCTTTCCTGGGCAGTTTGGGTGCTGGCTAACAAGGCGTTTTGTTTCTACCATAGAGCGTTTTGCCTGCTGCCCAGGATGAAAAACCGTGTCCCTCTACGGCTAACCTGTCACGACAGCAGCAGCAGAGAAACAAAACCTATATTTCCTGGCCCTCATCAAGTAAGGCTGAAAACAAGCTTAGCGGTTCTAAGCAGTAGTTTACAGCCTCAACGGGATGTGTAAAACTGCCTTTGTTTGTTTTCCTTTCTCTGCAGGTGGCAGTGAAGGAGCCATTCCTTCCCGCAGTATGTCCGATCCCGACCAGGAGTTTGACAAAGAGGTAAAGTGGCTTTTAATAATCACCACTCTGTGATTCTGTAATAGTAATATAATAGTAATTCTGTAATAAGTGGAAACTCACAATATCCTGTTCCTGTAGGCTTTCTTTTTCCAATAAATTAAATATCTGAGGAAATTCTTCATAAAGATCACGTTCTTTATGATGATGTTTTCCTTCTGCAATTGTTTTCTCCAGCATGTAAAAACATTTGGTTGTAAACTAAATAAGCCAGCGCTAAAGTTAAGCTGTGAATATATCTTTGTATGATGATATTTTAAGATGTACTGTTTCAAATTAAGTTTTGCAGACAAGGGAAATCTGATTAATTGATAAAGTATCCCCAAAGTCCCTAATTATGTTCTATGGGCTGTTAGCATAGAGTAGTAAATAATACTGCTAGCTGGATAACTTTCTCTGCTACCCTAAGGGACTTGTCTTGACACTTGAGAAGGAAAAACATTCTGAAATACATGTGTTTAAAAAAAAAAAAAAAAGCCACTTTTTGCAAGTAAGTGCCAGTTGGCACCTGCCTGAAAGGTTCCTAGCAGCAGAAAACTGCTGTCCCTTCCTGAGTGTGGAGAGATCAGAGGTATCATTTGAGGGACTTCCTTGTTTCCCCATGAGTGTAGCTCTGGCTTTTGCTCCCTGAACAAAGGAAGTGTTAAGAAGTGTCACCCAGGGACAAACTCCTGGATCAAGAGCTCTGCAATTTCTTAATGCTTTCTGGTGCCCAACTACAGGCACGTGTAAAGATGCAGATTTTGAAGGGTGCTCAGTGCTCTCCTGAGAGCAGACCTGGGCAAGATGCCTGGGGTTTTCATCACAGCCATGCCACTGGCTTCCTTATGCATCTTAGGTATGTTCAAGCCGGGGTGCCCACAGAAAGGCATTTTTAAACTGTCTTGAATGTTTAAAGGCCCTGATGGTAGGCTGTTTCAGTTGACTTTGTTATTCTGCAAGCATCCTTCGCCAATAATGGTAGATATTGAGAGTTTTTATAGTTTTTTTTTTTATGTTGTTTGTTTTGTTTTGTTTTGTTTTTGTAGACCTTACAGTTTCTTAGGAGTTTTAAATTTTTAAAAACATAATAGTTTGTAACTTTTAAAAGGAGGCTCTGATAATCACCTTTTGGTTTTTATTTTTTCCCATGGGTTATAGTTTTATCACAGCATGAGCTGGATTGTTTATCATGTTGGGATAATCTTGTTATAGATGGTCTTGTAATCGTTTGAGCCATGCAAAACCTTGTGAACAGCATTCTTCAAGGATGTCACCTTCAATCTTTTTGCTAAATATAATATTCCTTTCCCAGAAAGTACCTTACAGCAGTGGCAAAAATTTCCCTGAAAAGTATTTCATATCTGTGAATTTGTGTAGTGCTCAGGGCTGCAACTGTGACCAAAATAGTGTGGAACTTGCCAGCCATCCCGCTGAAGTAGGACCAGGCTTTGGAGCCAATGTCCAACAGCCAGTCTAGCACTGAGCAAATAACTGTGGATAGACCTGGCTTTGTTAGGCAGTGACTGGAGGGTGTTTTCAGTAAGTGCACCTAATTTCAAGATTTCCAGCCTGACCTAGCAGCCTTCGCTCTTTTGTCATGCTCTTAACGTACTTTTCTGTGTTGCTGACACTGTTTAGTAAGTAGTTGGGGTGATTGCTTCCTTCCTTCCTTCTCACCAAAGTGAGCACCATAGGGCTGTAATTGTTTACGTATTATATGGTGAAATTCCTTGGCTATTAAATTGGCTTAAGAAACACTAGTTTTTAAATCCTGAACAGTAATGGATAGTTAAAAGTGTTCTATCGAGGAAGCTCAATAGAACTAAAGTGGCTAAAGGAGAGGAGATGGGGACTTAGCAATGTCCAAATTACCTTGCTGCAATTCGTGTTACATGGAAAGGTGACCTCCAGGATGGTACTAAGGCCTACTGAGGATAATGAAAGAATTGGTGTTACTGCTTAGCTTGGAAATGAATCTAATATACGATACCGCCTGTTGTGCTCTTTGATTTTGTCTTTCGGTGCTTAAAAAGATTTTGAATATTAAAAAAAAAAAAAAAGGTTTTAAATAAATGCAATTTTTAACTGTTTCTCATTAACAGCCTGATTCAGACTCGACCAAACACTCTACTCCATCCAACAGCTCAAATCCAAGCGGTCCCCCAAGTCCCAACTCTCCCCATAGGAATCAGCTCACGCTGGATGGCCTGGACCAGTCGACGTGCGACGCGTAGCCCGGCAGCTCCGGAGGCTCCAGGAGCAGCGCGAAGCTGTCGCAGATGCTAGTGCCAAGACTGACACTGAATCGCTAGTGTTGTACAAGAATAATTATATATCCAGATTGTAGATACAAACTATTGAAATGAAGAAAATTCTTTACTAAATAGTGATGGAGCTTTTTATGCAGAATTGTTCACTGCTCAGTTATGGTTGATTCCTTTCTGCACAGCTGTGACAGTTGTATTGCATAGGAGCATTTAAGGCCACCAGTAAATAGTCTTATTCTTATGCTGAAAAGAAATAGAGAGAGATACTGATAATGTTGCTACAATATCAGGAATATTATTTTTCTATAGAATGATGTAATGTCTCATTAGCAGGAAATCCTTTTAGACACAGTTTAGACCTCCAAATAGGAAATGCAAGCAGGGCTAGTTACATCCTCAGATAAATGTACTTTTCCCTTTTTCCCTATAACTGTTTGTTTCCTAACCCTTAAGGAGAATGCTAGGAAGTGTAGGTTGTTCCCAATGTCAACAGAATCACTAGGAAGTGAAATGGAAGTTGGTTATAGTTTTGTGGCCTTTGAATTCATTTAGCCATTACCTGCTCAGCTGCATAACTCTGTATCTTTCTACCAACTTTAGTCTTGTACATAGGACTACTACCAGTTATCCTTTACCCCACACCCTGCTTTTTAGTCCTCATTGATCACAATTGTTAGTCAGGGCTTTTAAAATACTGGTAATTACTGCTGTGAAAAAACAATTTTACTCATAGTTCCTGCTATCCCCTTCTGAGAAACTTTCCCCTGGGTTTTTTGGGGTGAAGACACACTACATTGCTAAGCTAGCAAACCTTCTTGTGGAAACATTGCCCTTGAAGTCTGCTTGGTCTAAGGGACTACATCACTAAAACATCAGTCTTACTGGTTACCAAAGTGGAACGTGAAGGATGTGTAACTGAGGGTGCTGCTTTTTCCATTAATTGTATCCTCACCTGCATGAAGACCCCATGATTATTAATCAAGTATTGATCATGTAGAAAAATGCACAACACACTCCTGTATATTTTGCTATGGCCCACGTGCAGTGGTGATGTTTTGCGTGTATATTTAATCTCATGCTTCCATGTATTATACATTTAGTAATCAAAGATTTGTGACCATGTTTCATTAAAAGCTTGTAATTAATTCAGTGGCTGGCATATCCAGTTTGTCATTGTCACACTAGTGTGCCTTCTGTGCCAATTTTATGACAGTTGGATGTCACTTATTTAAAATTTGGTTAAAATGGGCTAATGATATACCAATGGCTAATGTTCTTTTCTGAAACACTGTATAGGACGTGCACTTATCTTTAGTTAAAACTGAGTGTTCTAGTCAACATTTAATCCTGTTATGTTAAGTGTTCGACAGTACTTGCTCTTTTTCTCAGATTATTGATAAAGAGGCTCAGTTAGAGCTGGACACTACTGCTTTGGGGTTTTCTGGTTTTTACTTTTTTAATGTAAGTCTAAGTCTTTGTAATTATTGAATTGTGAGAACATTTTTGAACAATTTACCTGTCAATAAAGCAGAAGAGGGAGGTTTTAAAGTTCATAGTTGTCTGTCTTGACATGTAAAAACAGTCTGCGATTGATGCTTGCTTTAGTCTCATAATAAATTCACTTTATCCACTTGAAAATTTTACATAAACTAAAAGATACTTTTACATAAAGTTTTACATAAATGATATTGCATACCTGAACACTACAGGAAAGGTGTGTGTGTGTTTCCATCCTAAATGCTTATTTAGGGACAATGGGAGTCCTTTAGATGGAATATGATGTTTAAATTGCACTCACTGCTTTACAGTTGCCACTTCATTGAGTCACTGGCCCTATAAATTCATTTTAAGTGATTTAGATGATTGTTTTCTTACAGCTCCAGGATCTGTTCAAACATCCGAAGTGTATTAAAACACTGAAGTCAGTGGTGGTCAAAGCAGCACTCCCGGAGAACCACAAACCTCTTAGACCCTGCTCCAACAGGATCCTTCGTCATTCCTGCCTGCCCCTATCTCCCCCCTCCCTCAACACATGGTGGCTTTTCCAAATTGAGCATTTGAGCACTGTGGGAATTGCTGGAGCAGAGCCAAAGCCCTTCCTAGCATGTCCAGGGCCGCCTTGTCCCTTAGAGTGCCCCAATGCTCCCACATCGACTCTGTTACCCTGAGGTGCAGGACAGTAGAGAGCACCTCGGTCAAGGAGGCCGGGATGGCCCTTTTGGGCCCTGCTCTTCTGTGCTTGACCAAACCCTGCGGCACGGCCAGGAGGCTGCAGGTCGGCTGGGGAAGGAGCACGGAGCGAGCCGGGAGCCTTCAGCATGCGCTCACGCTCATCAGCCATTTCTGCTCCTCTTGAGTCGGTTTTTCTCTGCACAGTAAGGACTTTGGATGACAACAAACTCTTTAATTATGGGAGTATTAAATCACAGCACTCAGCAGTGCCAGAGCCTGCTTATAATTTAAGCATGAGAATGTTTCTAGAAAAACAAATTGCTTAGCTTGATATATATATTTTTTTTCCAATCTGGCTGAGCAGAATCCTTCCCAAGTCCTCCAGTCCATTTCAAATCTTCTATTCCCTTATGGTTTTCATTCCAGTTACCTAAAGAGTCCTAAACCCTCAGGAGAACTGTAGAAATGTGGAAATGCAAAACTCTCTTGAAATATCCCTCTGACTGCGCTTGCTTTTCTCTAGAGGTTGCTAATCTAGTATCACAGGCAAGAAACTCATTTATGCAAGGAACAAGGGTAATTTGCTCTCTGCCAATTGCTGTGCCAAGGCCATTTTCACAGACGCATTATGTAGGGTCAGGCCAATGATGCTGGAGTGATGCAGGAAACTTGTCCAAGAGCTGGGCTCATCAGAAAACTTTGGTCACTTCTAGCACGGATTCTTCAACATGAAAGGTTTAGTGTTCTGGAACACATCCTGGTGTCCCTTGCTAGGTGAGACCTAAACTCTGCCAGCACCTCTGTCTACAGCACAGATGTTCTGTGAATGAGCCACGTCCCCAGTGAACGCCAGGCGCTGTTGGGTGCGTGTAGGTGCTTGCTTTATGCTTGCAGGGTGAGTGCTTAAAACAGCTAAGTCGCAGGGGAGAACTTCAGTGTGGAAATGCTGAGCTCCTCAACACCCTTGTTGTTCTCCATGATGCTGAATTAGGCAGCCTTGGGAGGAATCGGATGCATAGACATCCTCGTAGCTGGCACACTGAATGGTGTAGTAGACTAAAGCACTAAGAAATAGGAGCATTTGAGGGGAGAAAGATGACTGTAAGAACACAATTGCACCCTTAGGAGAGCTAAGCAAGTAACAGTTAAAGGAAGCTGTCACACTATGACCATGAATGCTGTCTTATTGCTGAACCTGAACTATTTAAAAGGAAAAGAAATGCCTGACTGCTGGAGCATCCCATGTTCTGGTTCACGCTTCTCCCTGGCTTCCTCAGGCTTTGCTAAGGAGGACAACAGAAAAGCGTGTTCACCTGCCCAGGCCTCTGCTTGTGGTGGCAGCAGGTCTCCTGGGCCACCTCCTTGGACAGGAGCCCAGGGCCCTGCACCAAACCCTGGGCCACCAGCC